GAACAGGACATCAAATCCAGCTAAATGAAAATATGTGGGAAACTGATTTCAGAGCAACTCAGGAATAGGTAATTTGGTCTCTGTGGAGCCCTCCTGAGGCAAGTTAAGATATGATGCAACTCGGTGCAAAACATTGAGAGAAACTCAAATGGCTTCAACTGAGGCAGCCAGGGAGCCATCGAATCTAAAAATTTTAACATAAGATAGCCAGCTGACATCCTTCTGAGAATGCAAAAGAAATCTGCATGAAGAACATTTCCTGTTGAGCTTCCTCAATGACGTACATTCAGCTTTTTATCAACTTAAATAGGATAACTTAAAAAGGATGATCCCCAAAATGTAGCCCTCTGCTATTCAAATACTGAGTGTGGACTTAATTTGAGAAGGGTGTGACAGTAATAGAACATCGCGAAAAATTGAAAAGAATATTTCAACACTGGACACACATTTTTTAGAGTCAGCTTCATCCTGAAAAATTTTTTGAAAAGTTTTTGGACAGAGAAGTAACCTGGGATAAGAGAGAAGGTCGTATAATAAGAAGACCTTTCATTATATGCAGGTCTCAGGAGGAAAAGTTCACTTATGCTAAAACAGTATCAGGACTACAGGAATACAAGCTTTAATACTGTGTGTCTTAATGAAACCTCAGTGTCTTTAATAAATATTGCAGTGAATCTGCACCCGCAGTGAGTTTGGCTTTTTTAATGTATCTCTGTGGGGAAAGTTGCACCTACTTTTTTTCTGTGATCAACACACATGCGCTTCTAGCAGACCCCCGATGTTTTTAAAAAACAAACAAAAAAACGTATAATTAGATGTAGAGCAAAAAGTATACTGTATGTCCTCTAAGTTGAACTCAAGTTAGGTCATGCTAAATCTTTAACTTAATATGCACTCAAATTGTGACAGGAAGTGCTTTTTCAAGTCTGTAAGCATGTGGAATAAACCTCAAACCAATACTATTAAGAAAATGTTTAGATCCACCTTAAAGTTTTATTAAAGCTAATGATGCATTTTGTTCAACTTGTTGGTTTGAGTTAATGTGGACAAGTATTACAATTGTAATAATGATACTGACAGATGTAAAATGGACAGTGGGAGTCATTTTTGACTGATACATTTTAGGTCCTATATAATTTCTATGGGAATATAAAATTTGGGTCTTTATAGACACAGGGCAGGACACAGTTAGGTATATACAATGTGAATAAAAAATCCATAATTGTAATTAATTCTCTCATGTGTTGTTTGTATATTTGCTGTTTCGCAGCGAGTGGTAAATGATCTAATTTTTGCTGCCACTTAAGCATCAAATATTTCATTAAGCTACAGGTATCCTGCTATTTAGTGGTATTGTGTTGTGCGTTTAATGTGCTGTTTTGTTTCTTCCGTGTGTAAATAGGTAGCATTATAATTATATCAGCAACAGCTGTTGTTCTGTGAATATATACTTGAGAAAAATCACATGTTCACCCAGTTAGTTTCCTCTGGCAGCTTTCAGAGCATAAAGAGAACCATTAAATGTTCAGAAGCACCATCGGCTACAACTCAGATCATTGTGTTTCACAAATTTCCAATTTGTGGTGAACTAATTGGAACAGATAGCAGCAAGAAGACCTAACTAAGCATTTGAAAGTCTTTACGCTTACTTAATAGCATGTTATTCAACCTTCCAACTCCTTGCTGGTGTCTCCTAAATGAAACCTAAGCCAGAGTGAGAAACGTGTGTGTAAGGCATGAGGGTGGGTGTGCCATAATGGGAGCAAAACTGGTCAGTTACTGGAGCAAATTACAGGGGAAAAAAAACTTAGACAAACACGGGCATTGACACAGGCATGTCAACATAAAGCAGAGAGAGAGGGCGATCTCTAAAGAGTCATTCTGAATTAGTGCTAAAGTTTCCAGTACAGTACATAACTAGTACAGAGCTTTTTATGTAAATGCAATTGAGTGTGTACTGTGAGAACATTCAGCACTATGGAGATATAGTTCACCCCCACAGCTCTGCTAGGAATCAGTGTGAGCAGCTCTGCAGCAGGAGACTGTGTTCCTCTAAGCAGAAAATCTACAGCAAATCCAGCTGCATTAAAAACTGATAGCCAAGTGTTTTGATTATTTTTTGAAGGACTATATTTACTGGCAGTCTAATACAAGCACAAAACCTTCTTTTAGCTTTAAAAGACTACTGTTGGGATTTTCTAAACATTTATTTTTCACTGTACTGCACATGTACTTGCAGAAGTGCAACTTTCAGAGGCACAAAATGTTGGGAGGAGAGTATTTGAATGAATCACATACAAATTATTTAAGGTTTGAAGCGAGCGATTTATTGGCAACTGTATCAAATTTAACTCTGAAAATTGTCTTATTTTGTGTATGATGAGACGGTGTGATAATTTCTGCTAGAAGTGTCAACTCATCTGGATTGCCAGAGGGAGATGTTATCAGAACAAGTGTATGATTGGCATCAGCGGATTGCTCAAGCTGTGAGCACACCAAAACTCTAGGCTCTTCAGTGAGTTCTCCACTATTTAGAGCTCAGCCCTGCATGTTTCTGGTCCTCAGTAACGCTGATATGTTTATGAAACAGAGCAGAACTTAACTTCATGTGAAGCATCAGAGGGAGAGGGAGAATCCCAATACAAGATCCACGCAGAGCTGTGTGATGTTTTGGGTAACACACACAGCCATGTTACTTTTTAAAGTAGTGAATCGGTTTGTAGTGTTTTAGGCTTTTAGTCACAGAGATCCGCCATGGAGTGGTTTCTTTGTGTATTTTGATTTTTCTTCCTCTTATTTCTGATTATTTTAAAGCTCTCTATCTTGCTACTCGTGGACCAGATCGTGGACCAGTATGCTGGATTTAAGTCAAAATCTAACAATATGTAAAATTAACTTTAATTAAATACCTGCAGCCCTGCATGTCATGCAGATAAAAATACCAGTGTGCACACCTATGCATGTAGCAAAGCAGCAGTAACTTTATTAACACATGTACAGCTCAGGATCTGACGATGAATGAAGTTTTGTGTTGTTGTTGTTGTTGTGTTTGTTTTTTTTTACAAATCCTACAGGACAGCTGTATACCGACAGTTTTCAGTTTTATGCAGTGAGATAGTTTGTTGAAAGCAGCGCTCTTCTGGATTAATCGTGCATTCCAACTGAGCTGTCAGATTTATCCAGCGATCACACACACTTATCCGTACAGAGTCCTCAGCTATTCCTAACAGAAGACTTCGCCTTTATATCAAAATATATCCATTCTCCTTCAGCTGCGTTTCCTTAATCTGAACTGCCATGTTGTTTTTCTGGAGAAAACCTATATTATAATGTATTATTTTGGTAACCAGATTGCCCTCACCCTTGTTATTTATTATTGAAATGAACTGCCTTTGTCTTTGCTTATTAATCTGGGCCCATGTATGTAAAAGGTCTAGGTAAAGAGTTGTATAGTGTAGGTATTTTTTTTAATCCATTGCACTTTATCAATGGTGCATTAGCATTTGTGCGTATTAGTGTGATTGCTGAGGTTTCTTTCTAATATTGTAGCATCTTTTTCTGCCTTGAGGCGACTGTTGTTGTGAATTGGCGCTATATAAATAACATTGAATTGAACTGAACTGGATCAGTAAAGATGAATGGATCTGACAAAATCAGGTGTGCTCCAATGAGTCAGCAATGAGAGCACAGAGATAAATGTAGTCAATCCAACTTCTATCTAATGTGCTGCTATGTAGCGCTGATTAGAGCTGTTGTCAGATAAAACTTATTGTTTCCTATTCCCTTTCAATGACTGAACAATTCATTTGTAAAACAATTGTTTTCCTCAGGGGAGGAGATTTTAGAAATGTCGCACTGCAGAAATAAGACTTCAACAACGGCTACAAGTCTGTGATTTATCCCTCTTATGGGTAACTTCTACTACATTTGCTCTCCCAATGGGAGGAGGAAGAGCTGGGTTCAAATCTAGTCTGCTGCAGGAATCTGACTAAACACTGCGCGCTTCACTGATTCAGTAATGTGAAAGCACTGAGAGGGTTTCTGGTCTAGGGAAAAAAACACACACACACACACACAAATGAATGCCATTTGCAAAGGGAAAAAAAGCTTAAATTGCTATCAGCACTTGTCCTTGACTCGGTAAGGGTAAATGGAATATTTTGTGGTATTAAATTAAGGAGAACTTCAGAGTCAATGCAGATTGGCAAAATGATAAATCTATGGTGTATTGCACTTGCTGATGAGCCAAATCCAAAGGAAACAGCATTCCATTACACAATGGAGTAAGTACAATTAGTATGAACTTCACTTCACTCAAGAATATCTTTCCATTGTGAAGAGAAACACATATTTTTGTGCCTTATAAGTTGCCTAAAACATAAATAAAGTGCTAAATATATAAATCAAGAGGTGTAAAGATCAATCTGTACAAAGCTACACAACATACGTACATAGCAAATCTCTTGTGTACTTCCTATTCTTGCTTTCTCTCACCTCTTCTTAATCTAACATATCAAAGACTAAAATATATTTGCATTGCACTTATTTCCCCTCATCATCACCTAAGCCAAACCTGGAGCTGTTTCGTTTACCATCCCCTACTTATATATTATTTTCTTATATATGATTTTCATGTTTGTTTGTTTTTTTAAACAAAACCATGCAGCATCATTGCCTGCCCTCCTGCAGCAATGCAGTTACCACTCCAGCCCTCCTTCGTCAAGTAACGGCCATGATTTTAATGATATTTTCCAGCTCTTGCTCCATAATCTCCATTACTTCCATCCATTAAACTCAACCAATCAATTGTTGCTTTCGTTTAAACATTTTATAACAGTGGGATGCTGCTATATAACAGCAACAACTTTATGAGCTGCCTTATATTAGAGCTGTTTATGGACAACAAAGTTACAATTTGGCCTTTTTAGCCAAAAGTTTTACATAAAAAAGGCTTATCATAGTTCAGCACATACATTTATGGTATATGGAGGACTTCCTACCTGCTCTTTGACAGAGGCAAGGATAGAGGAGGTTGTCTCTGTCTCAGATCTGTCTCCATTGGAGGATGGCATCACAGGGGGAACCATGGCCCCCTTCTCCTGCTCTGCAGGCTGATCCGGCACTGGCATGGCTAAAATTAACACACATATATAGAAAATGATGTGACAAAACAGTACGAAGAATATGTCTCATTTACATGTTCTTTTTTATTTTTAAATGTCTTGATTTTAAGTGTCAAGAAAGTCAACTTTACAACTTTACAAGGGCAATTCATTAAATAAAAAATCTATATATTGATTTTCGAAGTGACTTATTTCTTCACATAAAATGTTACTTAGATATTTTTATAGATGTAACACAGCAGAGGAAGAATACAGATTGTGCATTTTTTGATATAACCAAATAAAAAAATACAGATTGCAGACAGATTCTTTGGTTTTCTGTTTAGAATTTGTGTACAACTGCTTCTAAAACATTTTGCATTACATTGGAGATTAAGTATTGGAATTTCACGAGCGAGACCACCCCTCCAAACACGCTCCTTCCGGTTGTCATCTATATGGGTTCCCCCAGTTCTGCAAGCTGTTCATTCTCGTTTACGTGCCCCACCCTCCCTCCCTCCCTCCTTGTTCTCCATTCTTCAACTTCTTCACTTCTATTTAGTGCATGGGGATCTGCCAGGCCCGGGAGCCGTCGCCAGTCCCCTTCGAGGCCTTCCCCAAACCGCAGCTCATGTCCAAGCATTCACCTTTACCTACTAAAACGCTGTCATACCTAAAATGAGGACATGGGCCCAGCTAGTGAATGAACGTTTATGAACCACATAACCACAGTGCCATACCTTTTCACTGTTCATTGCTGAAAATAGGTTACTCAGTTTCTGTCTACACTGCTCAAAAATTTAGGATCAGGGATTAGGGAATCCTAATATCACACATCAGATCCTGAGGAACTAAATATTAAAGTAAAACATTTTTATTTATACATACTGTTCAATTTGTTAAAAACAAAGTTATATATGATCATTAGAAACCATTATTACCAACTGTTTGAATACAGGATTGAAAAATCACTTTAATAAGTAAAAAACTGAAATCACAGGCTGATTCAACTTGTATCCCAGTGTCGATCAGTAGTGTTCGTGGTTCTTCATAGACACTTTGGCAATGAGCCCAAGTGTTGTCCTTCAGGGTGAACCCAGAGCTCACTGCAACCATATAAGACAATAAGTCTGATGATCTTATCCTGGTACCTAAATGCAGTCAGGGCACTGTTGGCTATCACACGGAAGTCTATTTGACCCTACAAGTGAATGCCTCCCCACACAATCACTGATCCACCGTCAAACCAGCCATGCTTGTTACAGCATCCCCAGATTCGTTTACGTCCATCACATGTGTTCAGTGTGAAACTTCTCTCATCTGTAAAGAGAATGTGCACCAGTGCTGGACCTCCCAGTTCTGGTGTTCACTGGTGAAAGCCAATCAAGCTGCATGGTGTCCATAGTGAGCACCAATCCCACTAAAGGACATCAGGACCTCTAACCACCTTCATGCAGTGTGTTTCTTGAGATTTTGGTCAGAAAAGTGCACATGAGTAGCTTTCAGGAAGGTAACTTTGCAGGGTTCTGGTAGTCATTCTGTTCCTCCTCAGACAAAAGAGAAGATACCAGTCCTGCTCTTCCACCCTCTTGAGACTATTCTGGAAGACTCAGCAAACAATCTCCTGATGGCACATGCACATGGGTCATCCCAGAGGAGCTGAACTATTTGTGCAACCTCAATGGGCTTCAGGTAACCTCTCACCTGCTACCAGTAATCACGAAAACAGTAAAAGAGCAAAACACGGGAAAAAACAGTCAGGAGAGATAACGAGTAGGCAACGGTCTGTGGCCACCACCTACAAAACCAATGTAGTTTTGAGGGTTGTCTTGTTATCTCTTCAATGCAACTGTTACCACTTTCATCAAAACAAGTGGAATGGATTCGCAATCATCTTTTGCTATATACAGACTTCAACTATCTATAAAATACTGTTGTTTTCTTCTCTTATAAGAAGATTGGAGAATCTAATTCAGTTAAAACATCACTTTGAACGTGCCAGCCAGTCAATCAGTCAGGGCGCCGATGAGCACAATACTGGAGGACAGACTGGATGTTTGTGGTGAGAGAATAAATACTAAAAGCAGACTTAATTTAAAAAAACAAAACATAAAGCAAATAAATCTCAAACAAGTACAAACACAGTGGGATTTGCCACTTCCACTATATTACTTCACAAACACAGGGTCTTGTAGACTGAGTAATGAATGTATTCAACTGGAAAAGACATGCATTGTTCATCAAACAGCACCTTGACAACTAGCTTGACAAAGTTAGCATGAGTCGTGCATGGGTTTTTTGGTTTGTTTGTTTTCAACCAGCATTCATCTTAATCCCAGGAAGTACTAATAGATGCATCAACATCACTTGATGCTTCTAAATGAAGCCATCTATAATATGAAAGCAATATTTTAACAACAACACCTTGCACTATTAACATGCTAATATGTTTTCTGTTCCATGCCCTAATAATTTAGCCTTGTATTTTACCTGAGCAGGAAAACGACAGGTTAAAGACTTCCTGTCATGCATTACTAACACTTTCTGTCACCATTTGTGTGACCACCATTTTCCATGAAAATCAGTGTCACAAAATCCATTTTCATTTTTTTTGTGCATGATATGAGAAACTATTCTTTGGTCTGTTCTGACTGGGCACTAACTGAAAAGAAACAAATTCACTTTCTGCATAAAGCACACAGTACTGCAGGCCAGGGTATACACAATATTGTGCCCAAACACCAGACACACAAATGTGAAAGAAAATTCAGGGACAGCTCAGTTTCAAGCAATACAAGCAAGCAGTAGAAAATCAATATCAAAAATGAAACACAATGAAATCACCTTATTTCTAATTAACTGTAAAGGTTTTAAATCATCAAACATCTGCACATTTTTCCTGTCTGAGCTGAAAGTACATGGCGAGAGAAAGAAAGAGAAAGTGTCTTAGAAATCAGGAAATTGGTTGGCAAGTTTTAGAGTGTTTTAGAGACCATAGGGACAGGATTTTGTCAATACAGAAGCCCAGACTTCAGTAGGAGACTAAATAATGAACTGCCTGAGTGTGGGATTAAATCATGGAGTCTCTTACTTTACAGTTTCCTGCTAGTCTCAGGCATTTAACATTTGATCTGGGGATTTAAATTCATGCCTCTAATTTTAGTTACAGGGTCTGCACGTACATTTCTGCAGCTTGGATTCTGTCATAGATTTTTAAAATGTGTGATATGTTTTTTAGAAGTATTCATCCAAAAGATAGAATGAGACAGACAAAGAGAATTAGAGTCAAGCGCATCGGTTACCTTACAGAGACAGCACCTCAATGAGGATCTAGACAGTGTGCAAAGCAAACTTCCACTCATTCTATTAGCCAGTCAGCTAGCCATCAGACAGACAGCCGGCTAGACAGGGTGGTGTCTGTAAATAAAAGATGCTAGTGAGATGCCCTGCAGATGGTAATTTTCACTCTCACTGACAAATACCACTTCTGTGTCTGGCATCTCCCCTCCTGAGTGGAGATGAGTCACTGGAGTTTGGCTCCTGAGCAACCAGAACCCCAGCAAAGACCATTTTACACGCGCTGGCTGACTGCCGCAATTTCTCTTGAATGCGCCAGCCAAATGTGCAAGTCAGTGGGAAGAGGAAAGCCTCATCTCACCTTCTTTCTGAACTCATATAGATGTTTTTTCTGCTAGTAAACACCTTTTAAATTGGAGCTCCCAAATAACACAAAAGAATGAATATGTGTCCCATCAATAATTTGACATGTGGCTTCTTGGCCAACAGTTTGTGTGTTTGTGGTCAAGTTTTCGTTCCAAAAGCTATCCAGTTGTGTCTGTAGCAATATACTATAGTTTGAAATAGGCACAATACCCCTTTCTCATGGCAGGATAATCACAGGTGTGACTAATAACATTAATGATGGTTTTATTCCATTTTGCTGTGCCAATAAGCAGAGCCAATGTGCCAACATGTATAATGCCAGAGGCGTGGCAGAGGCATACTGAAAAGAAATGCAGCTGCTATTAATTACACCTGTTTTTTTACAAGTAATAATGTCTGCACCCACTGGTTTTGTGCTTTGTAATACTTAGTACTAAGCCCGAATAAATGTACAGCAAAGGCTGATTGATTGTTTTTGCAGACAGAAAAGAGTGTTGCCTTGCGGCATTAGCTCATCAGATAATCTCTTTGCAGTTTTTGACATAATATTCCCAATATACAAGAAACTAGCATATACAAACAAGTGCAATTAAATTAAATAGGCAAACACGCTTCTGAGTGACTTTGATAAGTCGTTTCTCATACAGCTGAATGACTGAAGTAACGAAAAAAAAACAACTCTAAACAGCATACAGCACGGCACATTACAAAGACATTGCTGTGAACCTGTTATTGCCAGAGAAAGCCAGTAATCATGTATAGAGGAGGCACAAACTCTTTGTAATTAGTGTCCAGCAGGTGCTGTCTTTAGAAAATTGCAAAGGTGGCTCGCTGTATATTGGCTGCTGCAGAGATAATCCCAGAACACATTTGCCATCAAATGTCACAATACTCCAGCATCCTATTCTATTCTTTCCAGGTATTGTCGCCAAGCACAGTCGAGCTGCTACTGAATAGATGTGTGACACCCTGCAGGGTGGAATGTAACAGGAACCTCAGCTTAGAGGAGGCCTTTGTAGCTCTGGGGATGAATTTAATTGTAGCGCATTCTGACTGGTTTGAGCTGTGAGCTGTTTCACAAAGAACTCAGAAGGAATGATGGTATGACATTTCATTTGGCTCAGCCTGAGATAAGTAATGGCAAGCTCAGAAAAAGCCTTGTATGGTTGAGGACCCAGCATTTAATAATGATCCTTACAAAACAAAGTGTAAACAAGCTAAAGAAAAACTCAAAAAAAGTGCATCACATTTCATCTCGTCTATAATGTACGAGATGAATTTTGCGAAATCTCGCAAAAGTTTGTCTTAATTTTTTTTCTCCCATGTCCCTTGCGGGGCTCCGTAATAATGTACGGTGTGCAAAAAA